ATGGTGACCTGAGCTGTATGGAGTCCTAACCAACTCTCCAGTCTTCCAACACATATAAATTAGAATCTCAATATTACGGAACTTATCGATCCTTTCAGAACTGCTGAAATGTTGTCCACAAATAGTTTAAGTGGGTAACTTCACAGGGCTTTTCTCGGAATGACTCAACATAGACCATTATTTTCATTTCTAATGATTTTTCTTCATGAACCTTTCTTAGAACGCCCTGTACCTCACCCTTCGAGGATCGTCTTTGCCATGTGCGAGATGAATGGGTCCGCAGCTGCAGCGGCGTGACACTTTCTCCTCCATGAGGTACAAGGGTACGGGGCCGGAAGGTACTAAGGGCCGCCTCACATCCTCGCTACGCTATTTCCAAGGTGCAGCAGTTGCGGGGATACCGGAATTCTGCAGCGAGCACGCAGTCAGAGATTAAAAAAACAGAAGCGAGAGCACGTAGACAAGTAGAGCGTCCCACTATTGCTAAGTGTGGTCGTGCGACAGCTCGGGCTCTCGATAGACGGCACCCACGTATCACTACCCTTGATCTCCGTTCTTCGCTACTGCAGCTGCGGACCCATTCATCTCGCAGATGGGTAGCACCAGGATCCATGAAGGCGAGTGTTCAGTTTTTCTGTGCAACTTCAACTTTGTTCAGCTCTCCAACGCCGAGGAAACGGATATGAACGCCTCACTTACGCGTAAACGACATTCGCGTAGGATTTCTGTAGTACCTCTTCATATCCACATGGACAAAAGAGGAAGCACTACGGCGAGTTACATCCCTGTTTTCACTGTCTCATGATTCGTCCCTGTTCAAATCCCAAAAGGTCGGTCATATCATTATTTGCAGCTGGCTTTTCGAGATGCTCGCTCACACGAGTTTCCTGCACATCACAACATACTCTCCTCAAGGTGAGTTACAATTAAGACAACAGATAACCCTACAGCTAGCATTTTTGAGTGTTTGCAGACAAACATGAATTGGTGGAAAGTATGGGCACATTTGGAAGACTGGACCTGAAAATGCTTTTGGCGATAGGTCAGGCTGACATTATTACTCTCCTCAATAGCACTTGGGATCTAGTCTGAGGCAAGCACTGCATGCTTACTAGTTGACGTTTTCCATGCGCGAGGTGGGCAACTTCGCAGCTACGGTAGTGGTCCTTCACTTGTAAGTGCGTGGCAGTGATGCTGGTTGTGACAGCTGGGCGACCTTGCGTCTCCGCTGCAAGGGAAAGCACGGAGGAGGTGAGGACGCAAGGCAATACCGGCCACAACGCTAACTACAAGGCTCACCTCTCCGTCCCTTCACGCTGTCTTTTCCTGTAGCAGCTCGGCTTTGCGGGCAAGCCGGCTCGTTGGGGCAGGCATGTTTTTCCGTTTGTTAGGGACCTTGATGGCTTCAAGGCTTGCGTCGGCAAAAATACTGGCATCGCAGTCTCGCAATCTAAAGCTTTCACTGCTTCTAGGAAATTTCATAAATATCAGGTGTTTGACTGCTTTGAGAAGCCGCTTAAACCATTTCCAGTATAGTATTTTCACTTCATTTAAGGAATTCGGTGGCAGGCGCTTTGGGTAGACGTAGTTCAAAAATGGATGGCACGATAAGCAGCTTGCTTCCAAATTTTCAACATCACAGGTCGGTTCAGCGTTAATTGAGCAAGGAATGGCATCGCTCAGTGTTTCTTTTTCGCATGATTTTTAGAAAGTCCATCGCCGTGGGTACGCTTGGTCGACGAGCCTCCTTTATGGAGGGAGCTGGAGAAATACTGCCAGGAAGTTCCGTAGCAGCACATCGAAGGTACAGTTTTTGTAAGAACTACAAAGAACAGAGACTGAAGGAAGCCATTGCAGACCATCAACTGCCGCGACCGCTAGTGGTCCTTCGTTCCGGCGTCTGAGCGTTCAGCCAAATGATGATGCTGTGCATTTAATAGTGAACCGTAGACGCTCATCCGCTCATCCTAAACACTTTCTTTTATAAAGGGATATATAAACATGTTGTACAGAATGTATTAGCTGGTAAAGTAGTATTTTAGTCTTCATCTACGCATATTTCTTCGAATTGTAGAGATACTGACAATGTAGGTACTTTTAAACCGGCTGTATCGACTTTATTTCCAAGACGGAGGTCGCGCTGGAGGTGTTGGAGGCAGTGTGCATTATCGTCGAACAAAACAAATAAGGGATCGTTTGGAAAGGGGTCCATTTGTCCTTGAGCGCTGTCTGTTCTTCAGTTGTCTGCTAGGCCAAAACCAATATATTTCTTCGTTGCAGCTCTGGTGTCGACTGGAGGCGTCTACTTACCCCCTCCCCTCACCCGCCTGAACGCAAATTTTTGGGGAAAGCTTGATAAGCGGATTGAGAGTCGTATTGAAAGGGGATTCGGGAAGAGAAGGTCGGCCTGACACCTTCATTTCACCCTCATTACGATGCTTTAGTCCTCGCCTTTTCGATAATGTGAAGTGCAGAGCTTTTCAGAGAATGTGCTCCGCAGCTCACTTAGTCCACAGAAGATCCCCTCCCACATCTTTTTGATAAGGGATACATCGCCGTCTGCTGGCTGGCGAGCTCCTCTTTGAGACTTTTTTCGAGAGAACGCTATAAAGGGGCCCTTACGCATTAGAGAAGTTCGGCATAGTTCTCTGAACAATGGATGCTCTATTACATTTCGTGACAAGTTCTGATCCTCTACAGCTGCATTTACTTCCTTCCAAGAACGTTTTCCCAGCACTGTTCCCTACGCAGTCTGCACATGTAACCACCACCAAACGGATTAATAGCTGTTCGCCGAGGGAACTGCAAGCCCTTTGACTATGGGTGGATAGGCTCGGATATCAAAATTTGGCCCAGTAGCTGAACACCATATCATTTAGTTCCGTGAGCCTGGGCTTCATCTATGCTTACAGCAGTTGGGCATCTATGTTTGGCACAGCAGTTGGTCCTTTCGCGTCTTATTCGGTTGTAAAGTGCAGGGTAACAGTTGTTTTCTTTTCTTGTGTTCTGTGTAGATCGGTCAGAACACTACTAAACACGAGTACTACCGTAGGATTTATTACAATCAGACCAAGTCGTACGTTGGGGAATCCCCAGCAGCGCGGGGGATTCGCTCGCTGGCAGGGGGAGGGGGGGGGTCGTATATGCCTTTGGGGGAAATCCCGTGTTGACTTTTCGCGGATTTTACCATTCCGCATTGCTATAGACCCCCTGTCCTCTCGGCAGCAAAGGAAGAAAATTCTTGGGAAATTCCGAAATCCCGGAAAACTTGGGAAAAGTGGTAGGAAGTTGGGGAAATCTAGGAAAAAGGTAGGTAGGAATGGGAGAAGGAGGGGGTATCGTATCAGAGGAGGGAGTTAGGGGGGAGGTCGCATTTTCCGATAATTATCCTCAGCAACAGAACCCCACACAAGCACAGTTTTTGTCCTCGGTCTTTTCTCGGGAGGGTAGGATATTCTGTAGTGGTGAAGACGAACGACTTCTGTTCGGCGGGTCGACTGGCTGAAAGAATCCGGACGTGGCTAGACAATGCTCGAGTGGACGAAGCAGTTGCTCACATTATTGCTTTTCCTCTGTACAAAGCGCATAGCACAATAGAAACTTCAGGGTTTCAGTGTCCTCTAACTGACCGAAAATCGACGAGCGTCAAAATCAAACGTCACTCCAGTACGGCAGACGAGGGGCCGATGAGAGGAAAGAAAGCTCGCACCATTCGGCTTTCAATTACAGTCCATTGCGGGTGACACGGCAACCCGCAATGGACTGTTGTGGAGC